TACTATAATGATGGAAGCAAAACAATATGTTCATAATTACAAATAGATACCCTCATGAATGCTTTCACCACTGACCATTCTACCATTGTCACGCCCCTGGTACATTGATACAAAATGCAATATTTTTTCATCAATAACGAATTAAAAATAAGGTTAGACAAGTACAACACTATAGAAGAATATGAAAAGTGTTAAAAGATAAATTAGAAATTAAAAGAAGTACAAATACGCAGTGTGCTACACAAACCATAATCCTGATCATCAAGACACGAAAACTAGAAGACATAAAACTAGGCAAAAACCCAAACAAGTTCATCTTGCTTGCTTACCAATGAAGTTACCACCGAATGACTTTTGATAGTCTGAAACTCGAATAGTTAGATTTCTGATGACTTATTTGAAACAATTAAAGCTTAAAGACCAAACAAACCTGTTTATGACCGGAGTAACCATTACTTGACCATTGTCTACCATCATGAGGGAGAGAATGGCTTCTCCTTTAAACTGAGACACAATAAAAGCACACCGTAAATATCAAATTAAAACCAAACAGTATCGAATCTCACTATAGATGATAGTTGTAAAGTGTTAAAAAAAAACACATTTTCAGTAGACAGGGTAAGCATATACCCAAAAGATCTGGCAAAGCAAACGGTTTTGAATCAGGGCACGTTTCCGACGAGGTAGCAACATTCGCGATTCCAGAAAGTCCTGAACTAGATATCTGATACTCATTTGTATAGCTTTGTAAAGGCAAAACAGGATTTGAAGGATACGAATTCACAGAATGGGAATAAACATTTTTCTCAAAACTATCACTATTTCCACTGGTGAGTTGATTATGGATATGATCATCATTTGAAGGACCCAACACCGTTCTGCGACTTCCCTCACTCGCTTCATCCTTTCGCGCCTCGCACTTCCTCTCCCACTGAAGTCACAAAGAGGAAATAACAACAAATCAAAAATTATTTCTCAATTTCCCAAACCTGCAAGCAAACACAAAATAAAACAGATACAATTTGGGGAATACCTTAGTCACATCATCATCGGAAAACATAAACGCGTCCAATTGATTCGCGGCAGCGCCATATTTCCAGAAGAAATGCCTCAAATTCTTCACGTGTTGGGCACTGGCGAGGTGGCGAATCGCATTGGCGCTATCAAAAGAACCGATGGCATCCATTGAAAATATTCAGAGCATGGTCATAGTGATTTGATTTGAATAAATAAAGTGGATAGATAATGTACCAGGCAAAGGAACTGGAGTGTTCGTGGACGTCTTGGTCGCAGAAGACACACCAGAAGCGATTGCGAGAAGCGAGTTGGGGATCGAGAGGGATAGGGGCGTTGAGGAAGAAGCGAACGTCGGAGAGTTTTTTACGGAAGCGGGATAGGAAGCTGGAAAGGGATTTCTTGTGGTTAGGGAAGTACTTGTGGCGGAGACCTTGGTCGTGGTTTATGTTGCACGCTTTGCAGAACTCGAACTCGCTTTTCTGCTGCATCTTCTTCTTTCCCTTTCTTTCCACTGGTCTATAAAATATATATATATATATATATAAGAAGATAAAATAGGCTAGAATCATATTTGTAGAATAAAACTATTCATAAAAAATTCATCACATAAAGATTGAGTGTGAAATTAACTAAACATGTAATGATATTATTACAAATTGCACTCTCTTTCTAATAGATGTTATACAGACGAATTGATTGGACACTGTGCAATAATTTTAAGGTTGGAATACCTATTGATTTTTAGTTGGGCTGAAATCAGTCCTTTTTTGTAAAAGTGTTGAAAGTAGTTGGCATCTAGCAATTTTACGTCAACGTCTCTTTCCGTGAGTAACATGAAGGGCATGGCACGCGTAAGTTTGGTCTTCCTCGTCTACTGTTTTTGTACGTTGCAGTCTTTGGTGGAGTATGAATTGGAATTGGTTTTTACTCTCTTTAATCCTATAAACATTGTAAATTGTTCTGAACAAAATTTTTTATGCACCGTATCACATACATCAATATTTTAGTGTTGAGGTGTATGACCTTTGTTGATGCATATATTTTATACAAGCATAACTAAATTGATTGAAATAATATCTATATATCTACTTATATATAATAAATATTGACACTTGGAAGATTGTAATTTGTAATTTTTTAATATGTAATATAACTAACACATTCAATCTTATATGTTTACAGACATAAACTGAGGAAATAAAAAATGAAACACGTTGATATATATTAAATAACTACGAGAAGTATTAAAAACACACGAGGAGAAACTCCGCAAGAAATTATCGATAATTAATTTTTTACTCATAAACATATCTAAAATGAAGGAAAATTAAACTTGATAGTATGTATTTTTATTATTAAACCGGAAAGAGGTTGAAAAGAAAAGAAGAGAATCAATGGTTTGGAGGGGAAGTTGAAGGTCTTGGGTTGGACACAAATAGTGCAAGGGCAAATAGGGGGGAGAGGAAACCACGTAGTTACTTTAGGGCAAGAAGCTAGTCAGAGAAACGAAGCGAGGAGGGGGAGTGTCTAGGGGGGCCTGAAAAGAGGGAATGTGGCGAAAGGAGGCGGGCCAAACGAATAGGACGCCGACTTGAAGATATGGGCCAAGGGGCCGGAACACAAAGAAAGAGATACGATATAGAGATCTATATAGAGATATATAGAGATATAGGGGGGAGAATAGAAGGAGAAAGGAAAGGTTTGCGCGGCAAGGGGCCCCCGAAGAAGCCCCCCCCCGTTGCCCAGAACCGGAAGAAGGGCTTGCGCCTGGCCGCCGCCTTTTCACTACGGCGATTCTCACTACAGACTGCAAATCTTCCCCTGGCCTCGGGCGCGTGGGGCAACACGCGACGAGGGCACGAGCAACGGCTCAGGGGCCGGCGGGGTTGGAACTCAAGCAACCTGCCACCACCACCGCTGCACGGGCGAAAATGGGGGAGTGTGTCGTACAGAAGGAAATTATGCACTGACAAAGGTTGCTTTTTGAGTGAAGGAAAAGCAAGGCACGTACTGTTAAACAACATGGATGAACAGGAGGTCAGAAACGGATAAAAAAAATAGACGAGGAAACCTAACGTTAATGGAGAGTGACGGTTTGAGAGGGAAAATGTGGAAATTTTAGAATGGAAGGGACTGGGATGTCGGTTTTCTCGAACGTGAACAATAGGAGGGAATGAATAGGGATGTAAATTACAGATGGTCGTGAAATTGAGACGGCCAAAGAACAATGGAAAGGAAATGAAGCAAGAATAGATTATATTAAAGTAGGGGCAGGGAACATCGAGGTGACAGGGGGCCGGGACGGCTGTTCAAGTAAGGAGGGCGGAGGGGTGGGGGCAGGCATGGAGGGGAATGCAAAAGAGGAGAAGGTAGAACAATCATTTAAGTCAGAAACACAGGGCAGAAGCGTCTACGCGAGGGCGGTAACTACCGTAGGGGCGGGAGAGTCTGCTGGCAAGGAGCAGTTAGGGGTCTGAGCTTGCAATTATTAGTGATTGATTGTGATGGGGAAGTCGTTAACAGTAGGGGTACATTAAATTAGTGTCAAATTCAAGGTCAGGGTTGGGAGGGTTTGTATGGGAGAACAGTGAAAGTAGAATTTAATGTCTGGTATCACACTTTTAGTATACATTGGTACTTACCGGAATGTCCAATGAAGACCACAAGGATAGTCCACCGGACGGTGGGGAAATAACCGGCCGGTAGGTATCTCGGTCATTAAGACCATATCAAGGTAGCAGGGAATTTAGAGCTATGAGCTAAAATTGGGTCGTGATTACCTTTTTCCGAATCCCCACCCAGGACAAAACTCTAAACAAGTCAAAGGTCAGGGTAGGTAAGGGGCAGTTAGGACACATGTAACTGTTCTATTGAACTGTCCCGAACGGTTCACACTGACGTTAGCAATCGGAGAATCTTTGACAGGGTCCATCCCGGACTTAAGAGCAAGACCACGATCTTGGAGCAGCCCGAGGCAGAAGGCAATTTGTGAAGGTGGGCTCATGACCAATCCCACACCCGATATAATATTTTGTTACTGGGCTGAATTTAGACGCATGATTAAGGCTAATGTCTTTTAAGATAGTTTGTAGAGAACCTGTCACCTGTTGCAATATCAACATTGTGTGTGTGTTGTTTTTTTGTGTTTTTTCAAAAAAAAAAACCCCCCACCCCCTCACCCCCCCCTTTTTCACACCACACTTTTTTTTTTTTTTTTTTTTTGTGGGTGTTGGGTTTTTGCGGGGGTGGAGGTGTGGGGTGGTGTTGAGGGTGGTGGGGGGGGTGGTTTTTTTTTTTCATATAGGCTATCTTTTTCACCGCAAACTCTGTCCTTACAAAATTTTGAGATGCACTTTGTATGTTAAAAAAGATTCGTTACATTCAATAATTGTAGTTTATACTCTAATATCAAGTATTGGCCTAGACTTAGAAAGCACTACTAGTCATCCCTGATTACTCTTGTTATTTTGTGGTATTGTGACTTTTCACGATCTGGTCATGCTACATAGAAGTGGAGTCCTTCTCCCTCGCCACTACAAACGCAATCTTTCCAATTCCTCCTCATCGTTGCTTTTAAGGTTTTTTTTCACCGTTCCTCGTTATCTTGTGCTATCGCGGGGGGGGCCACCATAGAGCCCGGGGGTAAGTAGCGTGTGGGGGACCAGCGTAGGGGTGGTAGTCCCTGCCCATGTGGGTGGGTCTGAGTTTGTGGGCCGCCCACACGGGCGTCTTAGGAATGGCTTGAAAAAATGGAGGGATGGTGGTATATTTGGAAGATGTACTGGTGGGATATAGTGTTTATCTAGTTTTGATATCGTAATATGGGAATTAATTTTAGGGGGAAATTCTTAAGTAAAAGGTTTAAAGTATTGGGGGGTGGAATGGGGGGGGGCGTAAGGGTTCGGGGAGATGCCTAGTTTGTGGGTAAAGCATAGTTTTTGAAAGTTAATAGAAAGACCCGGGTTTGAACAATGGGAGATGCTCGGAAGCACACAACGCTAATACTGCACAAAAAGGGGGTGTAAGTGAGGGGTAAGGTAGATTTCGAATTCGGACAGGGGAAAACGATGTCGAAACTAGAGCAGGGGAAACGGGCAGGGAGAAGCGGGAGGATCAGAACAGAACACGTTGGTGAGAAGGGCGGGATGGGAGCAAAGTAAGACGAAGAAACTATAAAAACGTAGGAGGGCAAGAGACTAGGGCAAAAAAGAGAAAGGAGAAATTCCACGCGAGCGGTACCCACCAAGAGGCGGACATTAGGTTTATAAAAATGCTACAAAGAGTCGGAAAATGACAAAGAAGAGAAGAGAAGAAAAGTGAAAGGAACGAAAGAACAAAAGAGAGAAAGGGAAAGAATGGTAGAAAGAGAGGGAAAAGGAGATAACTCGTGATAAAGAAAGAAGTCGGGCACGCATGGGTCCAAATAGAGGAGGGGGGGAGGCAAAGACGAGGGTTGAAGTGAAGTATTGCAAAGGGGATATAAAGGCTCAATGAAGGTGGTCGGGGGTCTCAGGGGAACCAAAGGAAGGTTGAAGGTAAAAAAGAACGGGGTAGTAAGAGATAAGGGAATAAAAATAAAAGTCGCAACTAACAGCGGCAGTAATGTAGGTA